TTTAATTTTCCTTATATTTTATTTTTTTAGCTCTGTATTTGGAAGAAGAATCGGCTTAACCCAAGACCTCATTGTAGATGATACTACTACAAGGCTCAAAGTCCTCGCCACTCTGCCCTCCTCTGGGACACAGAGAGTTCAAAATTAATCTAACCTATTGATAAACCTCGATATTTCAATGGTAAAATAGAGTTAATTCATGTTGATTTGAGCTTAGTTTCATAAGTAAAGGTTTATAATGAACCTATTTAGAGTAAAAGTTGTGCATAACACCGCATTTTCATACAAAATACTTGGAGAAATCTCTGCTTTTCAGCTAAAACAGAGCATAGTGAAAGCAATGCGTCTGATCAAGCAAAAACGCAAGCTCTAAATGCAAAATCTCGTGCAATTCCTTCAATTATTGCAAGGAAACAGAGTGCAGAGCGTTCAGATACTTAACATAATTCATACTTTCAAATTTATTCTTAATTTAAACATTTAAAAAATTGTAGTCTTAACTTAATTCTGAAAATGTTAGGTTTAAGTTTTTAAACAAGTTAAAATGGGGGAGTTACTTTAGAAACTAAAAATTTATCATTTATTACTATTTATGTCTATTTCTTATGCTTAATAAGTGTTCAATTCGTGACTAACAAATGTTGAATCCATATTCACTTTGTACAATTAATGTGTGACATATCCAATTAAGCTAACAAGTGTTTGATAAGCTAATCATTCAAAATCACGCAACATCAACTAATAACGAAACATATGAAGCAACATGACAAACAAAACATTATGGTATATTACAATAATAAGTATACATACAATTTTTTTTTTAAGTACAACGAATCAAAGATAGAGAGATTCAAACTCATGATCTCTTGATCAAAGACAAGTGCTAATTACCGCTGAGCTAAGCTCATGTTTGGCAATACATATACATATAAATAATTCACTATCCTTAATTAGTTTAACTATATATGAATGAAATAGTTAAAACATCATGAAAAATAGAATAACATATTCAAATGCAAATTGAATCATAAATAGCCGCCCTCCTTTCTCCCACATATTATATCACAAGAATAGTGAAGTAAGTTTATTTTTTAATATCAACGTTGTCTTGGATTCTATCACCAACTTAAAAAACTAATATCCTAGAAACTTTAAATATTATGAGTATAAACGACTATTTAAAGCCCTACTTATTAAAAAAAAAAAAAAGAAAAAAGAATGTAGTTTGCTTTGAAACGTTTTTTTCACTACATTTTAAATCGCTATATTCAAAACATAAATTAGTCCCAATAATTTTTAATTATCATATAAAATAATAAATTATCATATAAAATAATGGTTTAAATACAACTTTAGTTGCTACATTTAATACAAATTTGTTGCTACATTTTAATTTTAATAAATTTAATGGGTAGAGTATTAGGTTAAAATTGTGATTGAAACAAAAATGGAAAGTATAGACACTCAAATGAACTCAAGTAAAAAATACAAGACAAAAATAGTATTTAAACCTAAAATAAAAAATAAACAAAAACAATAGGTCAGCGGTGAGAACAAAAAAAATAAATAAATATACAGAGAAAACAGACGGTAACAAAGGACGGAAAGAAGAAGGAAAAAAAATCAGTAGACAACAATGGCTTAGTTATATATGATATATGGCTCTTGTTATTTTCCATCAAAATTCTCTAACTCAAACAAAAATCAAAATGGCATGCTACATGAAACTTATCTAAGAAGAAAATATGCATCAAAACTTTCCCAGATTGCCTCATCATCATGTTCAAGTTCTGGGATCTTGTGATCTATATTAACATCTATGACTTCTTTGTGTATTTTAATTACTAACAAGTACAGATTAGATATCAGAGGGTTTCTAAGAAAAGGACTAATGATCTTACCGATTTCAATGACCTCGGCGATGAGAGGTTGTGTACTAACCTGGGATTTGCCGTTTATGATACAGTTTGAGAGGGCATAGAAGCCAAGCAAATTTGCATAAACTGGAAGAAATGCATCTTTGTGGTTGCCTGCACCACCTATCCAGTTAAATCCTCCATCTTTGCCCATATGCTCATCTGAAAATTGAATGAACTGATGGAGAAATCTCTTTCTCAAGCCAACCAGATAGTTTACGAACCATTGGGTGTCCCATAGAGCAACTAGTTTAGATTTTGAAAGCTTCTCCATGTGTAAACAACAAGTCTGACTAATCAACAGCTTTTCTTCATGATGGTTGTCGATTTCCTTGTCGAACACTCTTCTAACCGGGTCTGCTTGAGACACGGCGTGATTCGCTGTGTTCAACACCCACTGCGAGAGGTAATCAAAGTACATAACCCAGTGGCCGAATATAGATGAAAGATAATCGAAACTTGATCCTATAACTTGCTCTACTTGGTTTGGAACATCTGAGCTCGTCGTAATTCTTTCTGAGCTAAAACACTTCTGAACATCAACCGCAAGCCTTCTCCTAATCTCATCATCTTCATCCTCCAAGAGCATGATACAGGTAAACCATGTATTAAGTATTTGATGAGCATACCTATTCACATACTCCCTCTGTTCGGAATGGGAAGTTCCGTCAGGGATTCGGTTATCAAACACGAAATTGACAAAAATTTCAGCTTGTTCAAGCAAACCAGATGCTATAATAGAATCTGCAGCGGCCAGGCGCATGTTTGCTGGCTCCGATGCAGCGCTGTGTTGCCTAATGAGGTCGGTGAAAAGGGCAAGACAGTCACGAAACTCCTCCAAGTTATTTAACATTCCATAGTTTGGAGACTCTGTTTTTGTGGCATCGGAAACAATGGAGATTGAATATATAACAGAAAAGCGCTTTATGCACGTTCCCATGCAGCGAACAACAATTTCCCGAGTTTTTGCATGTCTTGTGAGCTTATACAAGGAAATCAACTTATCCCAAAACTGCAACACAGATCCGCAGTCCATCTCACCAATATAAACTACCTCTTCAGCGCACTTCTTACCTTTGCCAAGCTTCTGAAACTGAGACATGTTCCAATTGAAAAGATTCTTTAAAATATAATATAGACATCTATGATTCTTCTCAAATGACAAGAGCTCTGTCAATAAGGTTTGGAGGTTAGTTTTAATCCAGTAATCGATGGTCCTAATCTCGTAACTACTCAAGTCATAGAACCCGGCAGAGTATTCTGTAGATTTCAGAAATTTAAACATCCATTTCAATGTCGAGAGCCGAACTTCGTAGCATGGGTCTTGTAACGAGCGGATTAGCCTTTCTTGAAGTTGTGGAAATGGATAATCTATTAGAGCAGCTGGCACGTCTGCATCAGACTGAGATCTTTGTGACGTCTGAAGAACCGCATCATCTTCTTCATCAAATGGCTGAAGCACACAATTGAAATAACAAATAGCTGCTTGTTGCCGAAGCTCCACTAATGTCGGATCATAATATGACAGTTCATAGGAGGTCTCCACATCTAAGCACTCAGTAGATAGATCCAGAAGCAAGTTGCGAATGATATAGAAACTTTTGCTTCTTGGGCACGTTATAGAAATGCCAAGCATATGACCCAGGACTCGTAAGAAAGAGGTACTAAGGATTGGGCAAGAACTACGTCTTTGCCTTGCAATCCACGAGCAACATGCAATCACGTCTACCAAGTCATTAAGAAGCTGGCTTTTCTTCAAAATATCTGCCAGATTTCTACAATTTGTATCCAGAAGAGAAATCAACTGCAACAAGATTCCATGGATCCTATTATATGAAGTGTGTTGAGTGGTTTTAGTAGCCTCTAATGAGATTGATTCAGAAGCCAGCATTGTGTTGTCATCGACTGGCAACTCGGATGCTATATTGAGGATGACTGATGGTAATTTCTCATTGGACACCAGACCAGTTAACGCTCTAGATGCAAGAATGCGAATTCTTAGATTGCTTTGAGAAGAGCACCTCCTGAGGAATGGCATGAAGAGAAAGGGATCCAGGTCGTCTCCGGTTTCACTTGCGATTGTAAAAGGTTTAAGCCGAGATAGAAGAATTAACATAGGACACAAGCTTGGGTGCACAACTTTTGCTAAACTGGATTCTGAGTTTCCAGAACAGCCATCATCAAGATACTCGGTAGCCACTTTCAGTTCATCCAACAGAAATCGATGCAATGCTGGATACCTATTGGCAGTAAAACATGATTAGATTCCTGTCACGTAACTTGTGAATAGAAATAATATCCTCACGGAATTAAACAAAAGAAGTCAAATTTAAATTCGCCCAAATAAAAACCATCTGTGCCAGCAAACTTCCATGTAAATACTCGGTAAGATTCTGCAGAAACTCTCTAGGTAAGGCACCTTGCAAGGTTCCTTGTATAATACAGGGCAGCTACAGAAACACACATTTTAAAGCAGGACAAAAAAGTTCAATGGGTGGGCAGACAAAATACTTTTTAAGATTGAATATTTTGGCCCACACGACCTTATTTTATCCATCTGATCCACTCTCTTGTGCTACTCGTTGCCTTGCCATATCATGTGAAATCATTTCGTTAGTCCAATGAGATTTTGAAACTTTCTAAACTTTGTAATTGAACCAGACATCAACTATGGCTTCATGGGATTTTGAATACTATTTTGGGCATTTTGTTTAAGAAAAATAGCAGAATTTTTTAGGACAGAGCTGCCTAAAAATGTCAACCCTAATAAAAGAAATGCCTTCTTTTCCACTGGGGACTCTGAACACACTATTTTTATTCTTAATTACTTTCTAGCAATCTGTCTGCTAGTTTCATACTCTTAACAGAAAGTCTTATATCCTCGGGAAAAATTATGGTTCGCACTTGACAATTCTTGTGAAGAAAATTCAGCCGAAGACAAAAAATATATAATATGATTGAAGGTAATGACAACTAAGACAGATCAATAAATGCAAGAGTTGATAATATGATTCACAGAAATAACTACAAAGGCATCTCAACCAACAATACTTTCTCCTGAAGAAATACTCTTGCCACACTTAATGCATTTCAGAACAAACAACAGAATTGTAACTCCCCCTCGCCCTAAATTTCACAATTTATTTAACTCCAACAAGCTAAGATCAGACTGACTTACTCATATACTTCCTTTAAGCCCAAAAGATATATATACTATATTAACGCTCTTGGTAGAATTATTATTTCAATGCTCATGGATTCATTTCACAATTTACTAAAAATACTCCAACACAAGCATAGGCCAATCCACAAGCATAGGCCAGACTGGCTCAATGTTAAACTTCATTCAAGATAACGAGAACAATGTTATATTATCTTTCGACCAAATTTAATTATTAAAACAGATTGTGTTGTGGATTTCCAAAATTCATGCAAATCTAACAATGTATAGAATGGGCAATGTTTCACAATGAAATTTTGCAGTTCAAATCTAAAATCAAAGAGATCATACCTGTGAAAAAATTCAAGCCCAGTCAAAGCTCGACGAGCTGATTCTCGTTTGTGAACATTGAGAAACCCTATCATCCGACGAACTAAAGCAGTGTATGCCAAGCAAGCACTGTTACGCACCTCCCAGTAAGGAGAAGAGAAAGAGCGAATAGAAACAATTATAGCTTGAGCGGAGAAACCAGATGTATCCGTCGCCAGGTTGGTATCATTGAAAGCAGCTCTAAGGACATTGAATGCATGAACTGTTGGAATGACGCCTTCATCGCGAATTTTAGAGGCTTTGTCACTTGCATAAGTCTCATGGGGTAGTACAGACTCAGTGTCTTGGCCTAACTCTGTGGATGGTAACTTGGAGAAGTTGCCATTTTCACAGTCTATCTCAACTGGATTCTGCAACAACCTCTCAGCTACATCTATGAGCCACTTTAGGGCTCTTGGTAGAAGATTCTTCGGTGAACCTTCCGGCTCTGCTAGAAATAAAGCGACGAAGGCAGCCGGAATTCCAGCACTTCTCCTCAATAAATCATCAACTGTCTGACCATTTGCCGTCATTCTTTCCATTAGCTGATCCATCCAAGATTCTGTCAACTTACAAAGTCTATAAAGAGAGATAAGTCAGAAATTTTATGTTATGAGAGGATTCACGATTCAGATATGACAAAAATTTACTGTCCTCTTAGCAAGAATTCCAATGATCATTTTATAGAATTTGTTGATATTCATAACGGCATATAGAATTTTTTTTTTGTGAAAGAAACAATTTCATTGATATATGAAATTACAAGGAGCCCATATAAGGGAGTACAAAAGCCCATAGATGGGTTACAAAAGGCACTTCCAATTGGACAAGAGGGAAGTGTAGCTATAGTAAAGAAAAGTAGGAGAAGTTTTACACC